AAGAAAAGAAAAGAAAAGAAAAGAAAAGAAAAGAAAAGAAAAGAAAAAAGAAAAGAAAAGAAAAGAAAAAAGAACCTCTGAGAATTTCCTATGGTTCTTCTGGTACTGACATTCTATGATTCTAACTCTACCAAGCTATTAGACCAATGATAGTGCCATAAAATCAAAGATCCCTGGAGGCAGAAGAGAAAAATTTATTGTCTTTAGAGCACAAAAAGGTTGTGACTTGCTGAAGGTCACATAGGTAGCCATTATCCAAGATGGGATTTGAACTCAAGTCTCCTTACTCGAAAGACAAGTAAGGCCCAAAGAAGTTAAATTACTCTGCCCACGGTCTCATAGACTGTGAAGGATATCATCAAAATTTGAACTGGGGTCCTCTGACTCCAAATTGAGCAGTCTTTCCACTACACCATCCTACTTCCCAGAACATAAGGCTACCTTACTTTATGCTGATGATGTGTTCCTGAAAAAGTATGTATTAACTTTGGCAATTTGAATTTTATTTACAGTGCAATGTGAGAACTGGCTATTTAAAAGAATCCTGAAGTGAATACCTTTCATTAGACTGGGCCCACCTGCACCCCAAATGTTCATATATTGACTTTATTTGAAAGGGAAGTCCAGTTCTAGTTTCTATTCTTCATAGGGTTATAGCAGCACTCCCTCAACATCATTGCTGTGAGAAGGCATTTCACTAGTTTAACTGATTGCCCTTCACAATTAACAACTCTTGAGGGGTTTTGGCAGTGGGATGGCTGAACCCCATTCATACAAAACACAACAACAACAAAATGCAACTCTGCTCAATAGAGAGAAAAATAACTAATGAGAATTTGCAGGGAAATTCTTACATGATTACAAACCTGATAATGCATCAAAAATCACTTTCATAAATTGAGATGAAATTCTTTATAGCAACCTTAAAGATAACAATACACAAATATTCCTTTAAATAAGATGATATTAGATTATCAGTATACTTTGGCATGAGGTTATATAGAGTTTTCAGATCTAAATTAAGGAGAGAAAGTGAGACAGGGGTAAAAACAGAGACACAGACATAAATAGAGACCCAGAGAGATAGAGATGAGAGAGAGAGAGATTGATTGATATTGAATTAGTTTTGAGAAACATTCCTCCAAAATCCCTTTGCTCCACCTGAAACATTCACTGTAGTTTTTTTGTTTGTTTGTTTTGTTTTGTTTTGCTTTTTGTTTTTGTTTTTGTTTGTTTGTTTGTTTGTTTGTTTTGGCTAGGCAATGGGGTTAAGTGACTTGCCCAGGGTCACACAGCTAGAAAGTCACTGCAGTTTTTTAAACAAAAATAGGCCAACTTTTAAACCCATTTTTCAAAACATTTACATTTTTTTCAAGACTTCAGATTGAAGAATTGAAATAAATCCCCATTGTTTCCATTTAAAAATCACATAAAGAGATGGAGCCACACGCTTACCAGTGAGGGATAGTGAATGGAATAAACGTAGTATGCCTGAAGATTTCATTTATAAAAGCTTCTGTGTAGGGTAAATTCTTTCTGTCTTCAAATCTGGGTGGTTTGAGGCCAATATTTCCATCTGCAGAAAGCAAATGACTGTGCTTAATGAGGATTATGATAGGCTGCAGAATATTGCATGGCTAGATTGCCTTTTTTTTATTCCTATAACATGATATTACCAATTTCTTCATGGATTTTTGCTTGTACTTCTGGGTAGTAAATCAAGTAGAGAAAGCTCCAACTTAGAAATGTTGATACTGTGTCAAACCCTGGAGGGGGGAAATATGATGAAATGTGCTTCTTAGAGAAGAAATAGATTATTAACAAATTCATTTTCACTGGTGGACAGCATAAAGAGGTTTAAAGCATTTTAAGTTCTCCCCAATGTAGGGTTATAGACAATGGTACCTACCAGCTCCAAAGATGTCACTCACAGTACTTATGATCTCATCGTCACTTAAGGTAGCAGTCTTTGTTGTGGCACTTTTGTCTTGACATATACCAACCAGAGCATCAGTGATATCTCTGAGATGATTCTGGAAAAATAAAATTTGAGCCCATTATTCCTCCCCCATCTCAACCCCTCCCATAATCCTTATCAACATTTGTTTGTCAAACCCTCAACCACCTCAACTCATTCCAATGACCTCCTTCCTCACTCCACCTCAGCCATAAAGGGACATAATCATACCCAGGACTCCCCATTGCTGAGAATTATATGTAGGCACTATGGTTACCCCTTTTTGCCAAAAGAAAGGGTATTCAAAGCTAAACTTTTCAGTGAGAGTTTATTTAAGGCCAAAGGCTACCTATTGCCTTTTGAAAAACCTTGGCATGGTAAGAGAAATGGTCCACCTGCCTGATTTCTAGGATCAGCCCAAAGATGACCACGGCTCAGAGTTCTGTAGTCTCTGACAACAATGTACATATTTGGGAACCAGGTCAATTTAATCTTGTTGACTCTCAAATTGAAACAAAAGCAAGAAAGCATCCACCCCACCCTGGGAGACAGGTGAAATTACATTCTCCTTCATATGTATTGATAACCTCGTTACACTACAAAGCACTTGGCTGACATTAATTAAAATGCCTACCTTATCAAATGTGGCAATATGATCTTGTACATGCTGTTCAAGAAACCTATTTAGTTGATGATAAAACTCACGAGGAGCATTTATAATACGCAGCAGGAGGCAGCGAAAGCATGGGATAAAATCATCTGGGTTAGCCGCACTTGAGGCTTTCAAGAGTTCTTCATTTGTTTTAATCACTCTGAGAAACTCCTCATCAAAGTGGTCATACCTCTTGCCAAAGCATAAGGCACAGACAACATTAGCAACAGCACAAGTAATGGGACTTTTAGGGTCAAAGCTGCCTTGCTTCAATGACAGTTTTGTGAAGACTTTTACTAATTCAGAAACTTCTTCAGTGACATGTTCCTCTAGGATACAAGAGCAGGTAGAGGATTTTGCTTCTGCTTTGGAAAAGGATCTTAAGGCATTTATGGCGAGTTTCTTATGGAGCTTCCAACTCTCTCCATAGTTCACTGAAAATGAAAGACTTTTGCCCTCAGCAAAGAAAGAAAATGTATGCATGTGGGGTCTGCCAGCAAAATTCTCTCCCTCTTTGAGTAAGCCTTTCTTCACCATTTCTTCACCATTCACCACAACAACAGGGACCATTCCCAGTATGATAAGAAATACATCACCATATTTCTTCCTCATCTCCATAAATGTAAGATAAGGATGATCTCCAAGTTGAAGAAGATTCCCTATTATGGGGAATGGCCATGGGCCTGGAGGAGACATCTGCTTTTTGTCCCTGTTTCCCAGTGCTTTTACAAAAATAAAAACTATTACCAAAACTAAAAGAGAAATGATAACCTCTTTGGAAGTGATTTCTACATCAAACATCATTTTCAGCAAGTAAAGTACCTGAAATGGAAAAAAAAAAGTATACCTTAATGGAAATCTCTCCTGTCTGATGATTCTAGGGATAGATCAAAAGACTTTTAATCCTCCAAATTTAAAAAATTACAGACTCTATTTTAGTTGTAAATCAATCCTTTTGCTGATGTAACAACAACAAAAAAAAAATAATTATCATATGCTTAGGAATAGCCCCTCTCCAAACCATTCCTGGTTAAGAGAAGAAGTGATGGAATGAAAAATAAAATCTTTCATATCAAATTTCTCAGATAAAGATTTAGCATCCAAGATAGATAAATAATTTTCAAATATATATATATACATATATCTATATATAGATGCATTTGTAGATATCAGTCATGTATTAACTACATGTGTTTTTTATGACATCTATTAGTTATATGACAAGTATTAGTTACATCTCACTAATATGACATGTGTATGTATGTGCAAATATGCATGTGTAAATATGTGTGTGTATGACTAATAACCACTCCTCAAATGGTCAAAGGAAATGAATCAAAGGTTTGCAAAAGAATTGCAAATACTCAGAAGTACATAAAAGAATGCTCCAAATCATTAATAATAAGAAAAATGCAAGTCAAAATAAGTCAGAGATATCACCTCACACCCTGCAAATTGGTAAAGATGACAAAAAATGGCAATAGTCAATTACAGCAGGGTTGTAGGATAATAGGCACACTAATACATTGTTGGTACAGCTGTGCCTTGGTACAACTATTTTCAAAAGCAATTTGAAATTATGTAAGCAAAGTCAATAAAATGTCTATATCATTTGACCCAAAGACTCCATTACTGAGTCTATATCACAAGGAAGTCATTGATAAGAAGGATGTTCCCATATACACCAAAATATTTTATCTCAGTACTTTTTTGTGAGAACAAAAAAATGGAAATAAATTAGATGCCCACTGATTGGGGAATGACTGAACAAAATGTGAGTACATGAAGTAATAGCATATTACCATGCTGTAAGAAATTATTATTGTGATAAATGCAGAAAAACAAAGATTTATATGAACTAAAGTAGAGTGGAGTAAGAAAAGCCTAGAAAACAGTATACACAATGACTACAACAATGAAATAGAATAACCTCACATCAAAAAATTTTAAAAAATGAATGTAACACAACTATAAAGATCAAGCATGACTTAAGTGAAGAGCTGTGAGAAGACCCAACCTAACCTTTTGTGGAGGTGGGAAGTTCATTGGTGTCACACACCATACATGTTTTCTGATTTTTTCAATGTATTGATTGGTTGTGATGATTTTGTCCTTCTTTCTTTTCTTTTGTCTCTAAAAGATACTACTTTTTATATGAAATGACTTTCTGAGGGAGGGGGAGAGACACTGCAGAAAACTATGATGGCGTAAAAAAATAAAAGATCAATAAAAATTTACAAATAAATATCTGTTGACTAAGGAAGCAGCTCGTTGCACCTTGGTTAAGAGAGAGACAGAAGAGCATAGTGGAGAGGATGACTTTAGAATCAAGGAGACCTATATTTAAGTTCTATTTCTCACACATACTAACTGAATCATGCGCCGTTGGCCTATCCCTTATCCTTTCAGTCTTTAAGACTCTTAAGTTAGAGATGAGTTGCTAAGCTGCAATGGTTGAGGAAGTTGTCTACAAAGATTAAATTATACTTCAACACCTCCAAGACCTCAAAAAAAAAAGGTTAAGAAAGATGTTGTATATTTTTTTGTTGTATATTTTTTTTTTGTTTCGTATGAGGCAATTGGGGTTAAGTGACTTACTCAGAGTCACACAGGTAGTAAGTGTTATGTTTCTGAAGCCAGATTTGAACTCAGGTCCTCCTGACTACAGGGCTGGTGCTCTATCCACTGCACCACCTAGTTGCCCCTATTGTATTTTTTTTACTATCAAATTAAGTTGTGATATTACAATCGAGAGATAGTTTCTATAATACTTTTCCTACATAAGTCAACATTTTAAAAAATGAATCAAGCCTGAAAGCCCAGTGGCTTTCTATATTTTGCAGAAGAATGACTTTATAATCCACCAGTTATTATTTTCCCATTTATTTCCTGTTTGTTTCATTTTTCTTTAACTTTTGCAAATTTAATAGTGTTGCCTTTTACTTACCTTTGTTTTAAATAGCCAAAATTTCTCCTGGACACAAATAAAAAAAAAAAAAAAACCCTGCTCACTGAAATAATAATCAATTGTATTTACAAAACAAAATACTACATTAGTTAGTAGATATGACATATAAACATGAAAAGTTGTGTTTTATATTTGTTCATATGTGTGTATATACGTATTCATATTCCCTAGCTATATTATTTTCTAAGCTGTCTCAGGAATTTTTTAAATGTAATAAATCAATAGGATTGTAGACCAGGAGGGCACATACTAGATTCTTTATGTCTACAAATGCTGTTTCCCTTAGTAGTTGCTCCCAAGTCTTCTATCACAAACAGATTTATTGGCAAATTTCCCAGCTCTGAAAAAATCCTAAAGAAACATTCTGTTTGTGTTTTCCTGCTGCTAGTGGGACAAAGGGAACAGGGTGGCAGCGTCAGGCAGTGGGTCCCTTGTATTATCTAGAAAGGGACCTTAGGGGGCCATCTAGCTAGTCTAACACCCTCATTTTACAAAGGAAGAAATCAAGAGAGAAGAAATGTCTATTTGTCCAAGGTCACCCAACTACAAAGCGGTAAAGAGGAAATCAAATGCAGTTCCTTTGACTTTAAATCCTGCGCCTTTGCCACGTACTCCAAGCCCTGTGGAGCTCAGTATGCATTATTATTTACTTCCTTAAACGAAAAGTCCGCTAGTGGTAGCAGTCTGGACTGATTTGGTGTGTTTGAAAGAAAAAAACCGCATAGATTTTTGAGACCATTAAAAGTCAACAGTGCCTCATTCCACTGTTTACTCCAGCCTAGAATGTAACTCTCCAGGGCTCCACTGTTTCCTCGAAATTTTGTACTGTCTCTCGGAATATGGTGCCAGGATGAGAAAGAGGAATTTGGGGAACTAGCCTAGAAAAAGTTACTGGACCAAGCTCAAATCCTCTGACCCCAAGAATTGAAACTTACTTGCAGTAAGGGCCCCCTAGACCCGTCCTGCTGCTTCCTTCCTGATTTCAGCTGTCCAAGAAGTGTAGGATGTGAGGAGTGCCCGGGAACCTAACGAGGGGAGGTCAGAGAATTGGCTGACTTTGGAATCTGCCAGGGTCTGGGAGAAAAATCCTTTCAGTACTGTTGGGGAGGGGGGAGCCAAGCCAGGAATAAAGAGAGGATCCGCGGCAAAGTAAGAGAAAAAAAAATTATTAACTGGAGGAGTTAAAGAACAGGGAATGTTGGCTAGGATTCCGGACTGGGAAAAAGGGTAAACAAAGGGGAAAGATTGCAGAATAAGAGAGAAATAGAGCCAATGGGGGCGAGAGGGGAGGAGGACTGAACGGACCCGAGAGTCAGGGCTCGACCATTCTGAATGGAGGGAGTGAAGTGTAATGCCAAACCTGAGAAAGAAAGGGGGCAGAAAAGGAAGAAGTAGAAGAGAATGAAAAAAAAAAGTAAATCCAGTCGGAGAGATAGGAAGAGAAAAGCATCAAAGAAAGAAGAAATAAGGAGAACATCTGGGGAAGGAGATGAAAAAGGAAACTGAACTGCACCCAAAAGGCTTAGGTTTGTAGCTATCTTTGTCTTCGCGTTGCCTTGAGGGTAAAATACAAATTCCTCCATTTGACACTCAAAGCCCTTCACAATCTTGCCTTCACCCTCTCTTTCAAGAGAGACTGCACAAGGCCCCTGCGGACCAGCAAGCATGAGAGAGTCTCAGCCTTTTGGGCATGAGAAAATCTCAGCTTTTGAATGGGGGCCAGGGTGGATCTTATATACACTAAAGTAACTTTGGGTGGCTGGGGGGGGGGGGGGGGAGTGGTTGGGAAAAGGGTCTAGATAAGAATTCCATTTGGAAGGTCTAAGAGATTGAATAAACAACGGGAATAGATAATGAAGGGAACTGGAAGGAGGAAGTTTGAAAGGCATCTGCATAAGATCAAAAGATGAGGCTAGGGCTTTCAAAGGGACATAAGGGGAGTTGATAAGGAACCAGAGACCAGAGTAAAAAAGTTTAAGGGTTTTCTGGGGCCCAGAGACAAATGGGAACCAAATTCCTTTTGATGAAAGGGGCAAAGGTCTCAGCTTCTGAAACTGAATGGTGGGCCCATACCCCATCAGTATCAGATTTCAATATAGAATATAATAGAATGAGCTTAACATTATAATTTTACTGGACTCAAAGCATTATAAATACTCAGCAGTGAAATGAACTTCTTCACAAAGGAGGGAACTTTACCATTATTTGAATTGTTTGTTGAGAGGCAAATCTATCATGGAGGTAATTGGAAGGGAAGTTGGACTAGGCCAGCCCTTCTTAAACCGTGGGCTGTGACCTCATATGGGGTGGTGAGAAATTTGGCAAGAGTAAAAGGTTTACGAACCTGCGATGACCACAAATTAATTCAAAATCAAACTCAAAATGAATCTGAGGTGTTTCTGGCAGCACTTGCCCTGGAACAACTTCACTGCAGCCTTGGTTCTGAATACAAAGCATGCACACTTTGCAATGTTCATGCCTTCAGGCCATGAAAAGCCAACTAGCTGCCAAAATGCAAAGGGTCTCAAGTGGAAAAAGTTTAAGAAGTCCTGGACTAGGCACTAGATGACTTTTATGATCCCTTCCAATCCTAAAATTCTATGACCCAGTGATAATCATTGTGTGTGTATATGTGTATGTGATCCAGAGAACATTTCAAGATTCTACCTTCTCCATCCCTCCCCAAATTACCTTGCATTTATTTTGTCTATGCATGTGTGAGTATGTGTGTGAGTGTGTGTGTGTGTGTGTGTGTGTGTGTGTGTGTGTGTGTGTTGTTTCCCCTGATTTAATGTAAGCTCTTTGAGAGCAGCAAATGCTTCATCTCTGTCTTTGTATCCTCAGTGCCTCAAACAGTACCTGTAACATACTGGAGTGGGTGCTTAATAAATAACTTGTTTAAGGATTGATTGATCTTATGGTGCCTTGGGATCATTCATAGTGCCTAGAATGGTATTATTCAATAAATATGGTAATCCTCAATAAGCATTTGCTAACTAATGATCAATTATGAGCATCAATGAATTTTCTGATATTATGGGTAAGGATAGAATAGAAAATTATCTTGAATCTCTTCTGACATAGCATGGAAGAGAGGTGACTCATACTCGAGAGTTACAGTGCAATGAAAAGGGCACTAGATTTGGAGTTAGATGACCTGGCTTATGTTTCAGTGTTTACTATTCTCATTATTGGGAATGTAGAACCTGTCCAAGCCCTTCTCTGGGTCTCTTTTCTCATTCATAAAATGGGAGGGGAAGGGTTGGACAATTTAAAGTCCAATATCCCTCTCAGCTCTAAGCCTATGATCTTTCTATGTCCTAATCAGATCATATTTGAGTACTATGATCAGTTTTATATAATAACTTTTAGGAAGGGCAGTGACAAAAATAAAGTGTATACTGAAAATAGCAACCATGATATTGAAGGGATAGATCACACCATATGAGGATGCAGTTATGGAACTGGAGCTATTTAGCCTGAGGGAGAGAAGACTTAGGGAAAACACCAAAGGTGTCTTTAAGTATTTGATGATCTGCCTTGTGGAAGAAGTATGATTTTGTAGTTCAACCTGTTCTATTTGTCTCAGAGGTAGAACTGGGGACAATGGAAAGAAATTACTATGGGACTCACCTCCTTCCTTCCTTCTTTCCTTCCTTCTTCCTTCCTGTCGTGTCCTAATTATGTCCTAATTATGAATGGAAACTCAAACCTTTATGTGAACATTTCTATAACAAATCTGTAACTGTTTTTTTTTAAATCTATTTGAAAATAAGTCCCAAATAACCTTTTTTATATAATACCACAGAGTGAAAAAATAAAGGAATAATAATCATACTTTCAAACAGATGTCACTAATGTTTATATACTCTAAAATAGGTATTTTGCTCATTTTAGAAAAACTTAGTACTTTGAAAAGCTGCTATTTTTAAAAATTGACAATGTTTATAACAATTGCTTCAAAATTTCTAACGCCTGTGATTTAATTGATATGGGTTTTTATACCCTTTGGTACAAATTAAACCTCCTTCACTAATTAGTATGGACTTTGTGAGTCAATGTTGGCAGAAATAAAAGTAATCATCTAGTGGCCAACTGTCTTAGCATTGAACTCCTTCATACTTAGACAATAGTCAGTCTTTTTCCAGGCCAATCTGCGAAGTCTACTCAGCTTGGAAAGATCTGCTGGGGCTTGTTCTTTATCAATATAGCCTTTAACACTCTATGGTCACCTACTTGTCACAAAGGGGCATTGGATTCCAACAATTAAAACTCCTCCTTCCTGTTTCTTGCAGAAAGCACTCCATTTCTAAATACCACAGCCTCTAATTCCCTCAGGTTGTCCCTATGTCTGGAATTCTCTCCCAGTTCAACTCTGCTTCCTGGTTTCCTTGGCTTCTTTCAAGTTCCAGCCAGCATCCCACCTTCTACAAGAAGCCTTTCCTGAGAGGATTCTGGGAAGATGGCAGAGTAGGTCAGAAAATTCCAAACTCTCAAGATTTTCTCCTACAAAAGAAATAAAATAGCACCTCACAGTGAACAAAGTGAAAGTAAAAAATAAATAAAAATAGGGGCACAACACGGGTCCTCTTAGGACAACCCAAGAAGATCTGAAGGAAAATCCCAGGACAGGTTTGGTACAGGCTAGGATCTGCTAAAACAAACCAACAAGCCTCAAGCCTTGAGGTTAGCTGGGTTGAGAGGCTGCCTCTGCCCCAGCCACGGGAACTTTTACCCCTGGACAGTGAGGGCAGTTGGGCATTTCAGCCAGGGAATATTGAGGGAACCTCAGCTGACAAGGAATCCCAGACCCAGCTGTGCTGCAGAGAGTGGCAGGGGCAAGAAGGAACCAGAACATGCCCAGTGAATGTAGAAGCAGTAGGGTGGGACACCCTTCTCTGTGGGCACTTACAGGAGGCTAGAAGTTGGCTTTGGTTCTAGCCTAGAGGGGAGAACTGAACATCTGAGGCCAGAGACACCAACCCCCCATACCCCAGGACTAGAAGTAATTACAAAAATTAAACTATTGCTACAAAAAAAAAAAAATGCACAGGCAAAGGGAAAAGAATCCAACCATAGAAAGTATTATGGGAATAGAGAAGACTGGGATTCATCTTCAGAGGAGGATATTTAAGCAAAGAAGCCCTCTTCTGCCCCCAAAGAGTAACATTAAATGGTCATCTGCCCAAAAAGAATTTATAGAAGAACTTAAAAAAGACTTTAAAAATCAAATGAGAGAGACTGAGGAAAAACTAAATAAATAAATAAGAACAATCCAGGAAAAACAAGATAACTGTGAAAATAAAGTCAACCAATTAGAAAAGGAGATCCAGAATCTTAAGGGAGAAAATGACACCTTGAAAATTAGAATTGGACAAGGCAAAGTTGTGGAAGTTATGAGACATCAAGAAATAATTAAACAAAATATAAAGAATGAAAAAATAGAAGAGAAACACACATAAGAAAAATAACTTAACTGGAGAACAGATCAAGAAAAGAAAACATAAGAATAATCAAACTACCTGAAAGCTATGATTAAAAAAAGAATCTTGATACAATAGTACAACAAATAATTAAAGAAAATTGCCCTGAAGCATTAGAACAAAGGTGGGGGTGGGGGGAGTAGAAATAGAAAAAAATCTGTCAATCACCATTTGAAAGAGATCCTATGAGGAAAACTCATAGGAATATTATAGTCAAATTCTGAAACTCCCAGCTCAAGGATAAAATATTAGGAGCAATAAGCAAAAAAAAAAACAAAACAAAACCATTTAAATATGATGGTGCCACAATTAGAATCACATAAGACCTAGCAGTGGAGACATTAAAGGACAGCAGGTCTTGGAACACTAAATATCAAAGAGCAAAAGAACTGGGGTTCTGGCAGAAAATATCACACCCAGCAAAGTTAAGCATAATCCTGAATGAAAAAAAAAGGACATTTGATCAACTCTTAGACTTCCAGGACTTTGTTTAAAAAAAAAAAAAAAACCTGAACTTAATAGAAGATTTGACATACAAGAGCCAAGAATGATTACAAGGGATTCAGTAAGGACAGACCATTTACCTTTTATGTATGTAAAATGTAAAACCTGTGTCTAAGATTGTCAGTAGCAATTGGGTAGTTTGTAAGAAAGATTGGGGTAGACCTGAGTATACGACTTTAAAAAGTAAAACCATCTAGGAACACTTAAAAAGAGTAGAGGTGCAAGAGGAAGAACTGCCACAGAGGAATTAGATGGCAGAGGAGGGCTGGTAGTTCTGCTAACCTCCTTTCATGGGGAATGGGTTCAAGAGGGAACAGTACATATATTATCTAGAAGAGTATAAAAATCTTCTAAATTCAGAAGAAATAATATGGTAAGGGGATGGGGAGATAAGGGAGGGATCTCTGAAGGAGAGGGTGGGGGAGTAGGTTAAAAGAAGGGTGTTTAGATTTATGGGAATGGGAGGATGGGGAGAGATCCTGGGGGAGGGGGGTTGAGGCTAATAATAGGAGGGCAAGGAAGCAGGTAGAAGTAAACTAGAAGAATCAGGAGGGATAGGAAATGAGATAGGCACAATCATAAAAACGAAGATCAGGTATAGAATTTCTTAGGAAAAGTATATGTCTATATACATATGTATCCATGTAGCTATGTATATGTGTATGTACATATCTATATCTATATATAAATATATTTGCACTTAATTATAGCCTTCTTGGGGGGAGAACAAAGTAAAAAGTGCACAGCAGAGAACAAAAGAAAACTTACAAGGAAGCAATGAAAAGCTCTCAACAAAACATGTAGTATTTATCATACAGGCTTTCTTGAAATGAAAATTTATTGCTATATATTTTGAATCCTCTCTTATGTTCTACTGTGCACATGACATGCTTTTTTTCTTTTCTTAGTTTGTATTTAAGTTTATAATAAGTTTATTTTTTCTACTCTGTGTTTGAGTTCTGGTGTTTGATTCTAAAATTAAAAAAAAAAAGAAGCCTTTCCTGATCCCCCTTAATGTTAGTGCTTTCCCTATGTTTACCATCTCCAATTTGTGCTGTATATATCTTTTGTTCATAATTGTTTTTACATTTCCCTTATTAGACTATGAAGTCCTGGAAAACAGGAAATACCTTTCACATTTTTTATGTCTTCAGAACTTAGTGTGGTTTCTAGCAAATAGTAGGTGTTTGATAAATGTTTATTCACTGACTACCCCTTTTATATTAGGCATCTAAAGTCTTTATAATCTGCCTCTGCATGATATCTTTCCAAGTTAATTTCATTTTACTCCCCCTAACAGCCAAAATGACCTTCCTGTTAGTCTCTATACATATACATATTAATGAACATACATATATACATACATCATACATACATATAAATGAACATACACGTGTTCATTTTAGGACATAACATCAGAACCCTATGCAATAATTGCCCCATCTTTGCCTTTTTATAGACTATTAATTATTTCTGGAATACTGTCCTCTTTAACTCTACCTCTCAGAATCCCTAATTAGCTCCTTTCAAGTTCAGTTCAGTTTCCATCTCCTCCATTAGGACCCCATACATACACACACACTTCCCTAGTTATTAGCACTTTCCTACTCCCAGAAAATAACTTGGTACTTTGTGCAAATTTTGAATTTGTCTCAGTTCATGTTACATTCCTTGGGCCAGGTAGTATTTTGTTTTCGTTTTGTTGTATGTCTCTTTATTCCTAGTGTGTAGCACAATTCCTGGCACATAGTAGACAATAAATGCTATAGGAATGAATTAATGGTTTAGAGACCACACTATCAGAACCCATCCTCTGATCCCTAAACTGAATTCAAATGATTTTATTCATTCATTTGTTCATCCATTCAATCAGTATTTATTATATGACATTGTGAAAGTTTTATGGAAAAACATAGATGAGAGTTGGAAAGTATGAGAAGGCATAGATTAATCTCCATCTGCACTTTTGGAAAAAGTATCCATAGGTGAGCCAGCACTTCAGTTCTTGCCCTGAAGCCCAGAGGTTCTGAATCATGAAAGTTCATCATATGTAGCAAAATCCATACCTTCTAGGGACAGCAGTCAAATTAACATTACCATTCCTGTAAAGGACCTATCAGTCAATTGTCCTTTTAATCCATTCACCATCCCTGTGACTTCCCTAAACAAAAAAACAAAACAAAACAAAAAATAATCCCTGGCCATCATTCCTCTATCTGTGGCTATCTTCCCTATTAGAATGGAAGTTCCTTGAAAGTAGTGACCATTGTCTTTTTCTATCCCTAGCACCTAGTGTAGTGCTTGGCACATAAAAATTACTTCATAAATGGTTTTTTTTTCAGTCATTCATTCATTCATTCATTAGATCACAGATCCACCCAAACATCATTTTTTAAAAAAAAAAATCAATCATAAGTTATTTTTTACCCTCATTTGGCTCCTATCCTATTTTAAAATATATTATTTATGTGCATCAGACATGTGCCCATTGAGATTCATTTAATGCTAAATTTTTTTAAAGGTACAAATAGTAATTTACTCAGATTAGGTGCTATTTTCAACCCCTGAAAACATTGCCCATTAGTAATGATTCTACAAAATTGCTGGCTCTAATGATTATTTCAAGATAGCATAGTAGATTAAAAAAGTAGGCAGCATGAATAATGGTTGTTATTAAAAGACCTAAAAAAGAACTAAGAAAACTTCAAAACCCTGTATTTCCTATGCTAATTTTTGCAACAATTACTGTGTAAATGGAAACAAAATGAAAATCAAAGAGCATTGGAGTAACAATCAATAGTTTAATCATTTTTGATGTCTTGGCCATGCCTGCTCTCAAAGGCAAATGCACAGTACTCAAGTAGAAATATAAAATGTATATGGAGAGCCTTAAATTTTTAAATCTGAAATTTGCATAAAGCACTCATGATCTTTTGCTAAAGTAAACAACAACAACAAGACCAAAATCTTGTTCTTTTATTCATTATGGTTGACTTGATTGTGACTGATGAAAATGCATGTGAAGATGAAATGACTCTTCAATATTATGCTTTTAGAGGAACCGCAAATCAAATGAAAATCTGGATAAATTCATCGAATGACCTAGGAAATAACTTAGTAGTACAGGAATTCTATCAAGAAACAGGTATTTAGCTATTAGCAGGCCCCCCCCAAAAAAACCTCTCTTCTTGTAGCTAATTATCCTCTAAAATTCGGTGATGATACATTATTTACACGTTAGTTTCAAACATTTTCCCTATGAAAACTTTTAGGTATACAACTTTTTGTTCTTACTAATATCACTCAAGGCCTAGAAGAGAGTCCCTTTCCCAACAGTCTCTTTCCCCAGCATCACACAGACCAGGTTCATTTGGGAGGAACATGACTTGTAAAAAGCATGAATTTATCCTTTTCTTGACTTTTCCAACACATTATGTTTCCACTGAAGAAGTGAAATCTGTATCAAATAATATATGGACTTCTATCGTCTCTTTCCTTCACTCAAAATTCTCTGAAGAAGAAAATAAAATCACACTAAGTTGTCAATGTGTTTGTAATCTATCCAGAATATTTTTGAGGAGAGGGAAATATTTTTATTTTTGTTCTAACTCTAATTTGGGACTGTTATGCTGTTCAAGGAGTTATTAAAGAAACTTCTATTATTGACAGTGGGTCTAGGTCACAATAGGTATAATGTTCATTGAATTTAATTAAAGGAACAATTGGGATGGTGTAGGAAACAAAGTTGCGTTACATTCCTCTGAAATTATATTGGATAGGAGATTGACCATTCCACACAAAAGGCTACCAGTATGAAGACAGAAAGTGTTCATTAATATTCCGAAGTGAATTGTTCCCAAATTAAATTTAACAAAAAGGAGTAAAGGAACTCATCACTGACTTAATTTGTTCTTTGTTTTTCTTTTTTAGTAAACTGTAAGACTCTCTGCCCTTTCAGCTATGGCTCAAATAAAACAACCGAACCTCCAGTAGAAGAGCAGGACCTTTCTTCTTGTGTTGCCTTTTTATAGAATGTGAGAAGTCCTGCCCGGACTATGTGTTTGAAGACCTGGGTTCCAATTCCTATCAAACTACTATCAATGTGACTTTGGGACAATCATTTCTCTTCTCTGTACCTTAATTAAATTACTTGATCTTTCAAATGATAAAGTTGGATGACACTGTCTCTAAGTTCTCTTCTGGCTCTGATGATATTGTGATATTTTATTCATTTGAATCATGTTATTTCTCAATAGTTTGGGTGTCAAAGTAGACTCAAGTAAAAAATAAAAGAACAGCTTGGCCCCATCCTATCTTTCTAGTCTATTACACCCCATCAATTTATTCTATGGGTGAGCCAAATTAGCCTACTTACTATTCCTCACACGCACACTGGCTGTACCTTCCAGCTTGGTGCTTTCTACTATCTTTATTCCATTACTGGAAGGCTCTCCCTTTTCTACATGTCTAAGAATCCCTGGCTTCCTTTCTAACTTAGCCTAAGAACCACCTTCTGCAGGATACTTTTCCCAGTCCCTCTGGCTACTAGTGTCTTCCCAACTATATCACCTTCTGTCCATTCTGTATGCATGTGGTAGGTATTTATGTAAAAGTTGTCTCCCTTAATAGAATGCAAGCTCCTTGAAGGCAGAGATTGTTTTACTTTGTCTTTCTACTGCTTAGCACAGCACCTGAAGCACTGATCATATCCATCAGCAACAGCTAAAATGGACTATAGCTGTTTTGACCATAGTAATTGAAATCAGTAAGAGTATAAATGATCACACAGTCTCTTTTCCATTTCATCAGTCAGTCAATATATTAAGTATCTATCATGTGCCAGGCACAGTGCTCAGTACTGAGGATACAAAGAATGCCAAAAGACAGTCCTTGTTTTTAAGGAACTCATAATTAAATGAGGAACACAACAAGAAAATAACCACATAATAAGAAGTTATATAGTTGTTAAGTTGGCTGAGGGAAGGCTTTAGAATTAAGGGGAATGAGGAAAGTCTTCCAGTAGAATGTCAAATTTTAGCTAGTTCCCGAAGGAAGCCAGAGCAGCCAGAGAATTACAAGCATGGAGAATAGCCAGTTTTGGGCAGAAAATGCCTAAATTTGGGAAGTGGCATGTCTTGGGTGAGGGGTAGCAAGGAGATCAGGGTGAGTGGATTGCAGAGGGGAGGAGTGTAAAGCATAGAGACTGGAAAGTCTCTCTTTGGGGGAGAGGGCAAGTTATAAAGGGCTTTGAATGCAGGACTGAGAATTTTATATTTGATCCTGGAGATGATAGGGAACCACTAGATTTTATTAAATAGGGAGGAGTGATGGTACATCTGGGCTTTAGGAAGATCTTTTCTTGGAAACTGAGTAAAGGATGGACAAGAGTTGGAAAAGACATGATCATTTAAAAATTCCTTGGAGTGAATTTTATTTCTCACTCCCTATCCACAACTAGTCAAATCACCATACCCCCATGTGTTCTTTTTTTTTTAATATCCCCCACATCAATCTTTATTTCAACTTCTCCTGCAACTATGCCTACTCAGGATTTTAGCTTATCCAGACTAGACTACTCTAATTGATTTCTAACTGTGTTCCCTTTCCTTAAGTATCTCCATGCTTCAATCTATGCATTGCTGCCAAATTAATCTGTAAATTACCTTCATTTCACTTTTGTTCTATATTTCATCCCTCTAAAGAACTGGTGTGGAAATTGCCTCAATTCAATTCAAATCAGCCATACTTCTGTAAACTAGTCTTAGAAAATTGCCTGGCACACCAACAGGTTAAATCAGGGGTGGGGAACCTGTGAGCTTGAGGCTACATGTGGCCTTCTAGGTCCCATCCTCAAATATACCCCTTTGACTGAATCCAAATTTCACACAACAAATCCGTTTATTAAGGATTATTAAATCTTTGTTAAGGTTTGTTCTGTGAAGTTTGGACACAGTCAAAGGGCCACACTTGAGATCCTAGAGGGCCCTCTGTGACTTCGAGGCTGCAGGTTCCCCACCCCTGGAAATGATTTCCCCAGGTTAATTAACTAGCATAGGTTAGATAGGATTGAGCCCAAATTTTCCTAATTCTAAGACTGGTCCTCTCTCTACCACACTCTGCATCTCCAATAATGTCTTTTGCCAGGTTATAAACATTTAATAGTTCCTCATTACCTACAAGATGTAGTTCAAATACTTTAGCCTGGAATTCCACAATCCATCCTCAAGCCATTTTTGAAGCTTTATCTCTCACTACTCCCCTACATGGATACTCTTTTAAAGACAAACCATTATACTTATTCCTCTAGCAAATATGCCTTGTGACTCAAGGACAAGATACGTCCATGCCTTTGCTCACAGTGTCTGCTCCCCTCCTGAAATTCATTCCCTTCTCATATCTACCAACTTCAAGCCTAAATTTAAATTCCTTCCTTCCTGGAAAACTTTCTTTAGGAACCGTCCTTCTAAACTCAATAGTATTACCCGTTTAGCACTTATTATATAATACCTTCTCTTGTTAACTTTTCTTTTGTATATATTCTATCTCTCTACCTGGAGTATAAGTTCTTTGGTGACAGAGATGTCTCATACTTTTTTCTGCATCCCTTACAATATTTTGAGTAGGATTCAAAACTCAATAAATACTGGTTCATCAGTCATGGAGGTTGGATGTTTGGTTACTGTTAATGGGCAAAGAGTCTCCTCCATACTCTCTTCTATTGTTGTATCATTATCCTTTGGGCTCATAAATGACAAGATCATCTTTGAATAAGTAAAATGCCTTTTACGCTACCCTACTTATGGGTCATTCAATACTGCACTCCATAAATTTTTATTTCTGCATTTAAAAGTTGAGCAGAGGTTGAAAACTCCCTAAACTTACCACCAGGGGGTGGAACTGTTCTTTCTAATGGTCCAAAGAATGATTTTCCCTTTCTGTTGTCTCTGAGTTGTTTTAGATGGCATCACTTCTCCATCCTCAAAATGGCTGTTTTTATTGTTTTGTATTCTTGCTTTAGTGTTTACTTTATTCCCCTCAACTATGAAGCAATTCCCTCCCCCTTAAAAAACCAAACCAATATCATCTCCTCTACCCTTTACTACACCTTTACTTCCATTCTCCCTCGTTTCCTTTTCAATATCCACAGAGTGGAAAGGAGCAGTCAACTTAAGCTGGACCACTGATGTTTCTAAAGAACTGATCCCTTGGAAATGGTTTAAAAGGAAGTAAGTGCAGATAGAACATAAATAAAAGGAGCCTTTTGCACAATGCTGGGTTCTTTTTTTGCTTTCTCTGAGCCCAGAATATAAAGTTAGTTCTGAGAACAAAGTGGGAAAGGATATATCAAAAGGGGTGCAGTGGAAGTTGGAATCAGGAATTTGAAATGATTCTGAAGTGCTCAGTAGAAAGAATGTAAGCTCTGTGACAACAAGACGTTTCTTTATATTCCCTCCAGCATACACAATACGCAGTAGAAAGTGAATGAATGTGAAAAGACAATCTGGGACTAGTGTTAGCTTCAAAACAGCACAACTACGTGATCTTAATAAGAGGATCATAAAATCTAAGATGTGGGGCTTAAAGGAAACTTTGAAATCACCTGATCCAACTTCCTCCTTTTATAGATATATTTCCAAAACTGAAACATGTTTTAAAGCATGTTTTATTCTGTAACAGCCTTACAAGAACATGGGGCAGCTAGGTGGCACAGGGGATAGAAGGCTGGACCTGGAATCAGGAAGACTAATCTTCCTGAGTTCAAATGTGACCTCAGATACTTGACCCTAGGCAAGTCATTTAACTTTGTTTGACTCAGTTTCCTCATCTGTAAAATGAGCTGGGAAGGAAATGACAAATCGCTCCAGTATCTTTGCTTTGTATCTTTGTCACAAAGAGTCAAACAAGACTGAAAAATGACTGAACAACTACAAGAACACAGTATGGATTAGTAACAAAAACTGATTAAAGCATTTATTAAGCCCTTACTATGATGATGCTAAGTGCTGGGAATACAAATACAAGCAGAAAGAAAGACAGTCCCTGCTCACAAGTAGCTTACATTCTGATGAAAGAATATAAGGGAGGGAGTAAAAAGAATTTGGGGAAGAGCTATCAACTATGGGATCAGATTATTAAACAAACATTGGCTAATTTTCTGAGGTTTCCTAAGACAAAAACAATATAAAGTTGAAGAAGCAACTCCATGACAGTACCATGACACATCAGTGACTCAAAAGTCAGCTTCAGTGTCAAGAAGACATAGGTTCAAGTTTCACTTCTGATATATGTTGTTGTTGTTGTTTGTACTTTGTTTTTGAAGAGGACCAATGACATCATAGGGTGATGTTGTCTTGATTCCTGTGTGAATTGGATTTAAGTGAGGCAGAGTTGTACAAAATCATCAGCCTCACTCTCTTTTCCAGAATCTTCAAAGTCCAATGGCAGAACAAAAGTCAACATGACTGATGATGACCTGGGATGCAGTGGATGACCTCAGTGTCTTCAATGTCTGACCAAGCTCTAAGCATTCCACAGTGCCTACGTTAGCTGCCTTCATGGCTGTTGGAAGACATTGTTCTCATCTGCCCATTCCGATGGGGAAAGTCTTCACATGCTTAAGGTGGACACTGCCTGATTTAGCCCATTTGCTGAGATGGTTTACCTGGGTGTGGCCATTGTGCATGTTACCACTTCTTGGAACCACCAGAGAGAACTGAGTGTCTGGAATACACCAAAGGTGGATAAGCAACCCTGAAAAGGGCTCTATAAGCCTCAAACCAGAGGCAGTAGTCTTCCTTGAATACCCCAAATAGTCTCAAAGCCAAGAAGACATGGGTTCAAGTTTCCACTCTGATACATACTATATGTGACCCTGATTAGGTCACTAAACTTCTTGGTGCTATAGCCAATTCTCTCAGACTATAAGTTGCAGAAGAGGTACTGACTTGCATTGGTATACTGAGCTTGCTCACCCAGGAATTATCTATTCTAGTGAAATCATAAATCTAATCTCTGAGAGCACCATGGCCATAAAAAATAACTGCAGGATAAAAGATGGCATCCATAATTTTTCCCCACTTTAAGTAAACCAAAAATTGATCATTCAATGTAATAATAATCAGAACATAACAGAAACAATTGCTGTTTACACTCATGCTTTGTCATTAGGGCTCAAACAATGACCAA